AGGCGGGCGGATCACCTTAGGTCAGCAGTTCGAGACCAGCCTGGCCAACATGGTGAAACCCCGTCTCTACTAAAAATACAAAAATTAGCTGGGCATGGTGGCAGGCGCCTGTAATCACAGCTACTCCAGAGGCTGAGGCAGGAGAATTGCTTGAACCTGGGAGACCGAGGCTGTAGTGAGCCAAGATCCCGCCTGGGCAACAAGAGCGAGACTTTGTTTCAGAAAATTTTTGTTTGTTTGTTTTGTAGAGACAGGGTCTCGCTGGCCATCTTGCACAGGCTGCATTGTTCTTTTTCTGTTCCAGGATCCTATCTAGAATCTCACATTGCATTTTAGGTGTTTTTCTTCCTTACTCTTCTGTATTCTGTAAAAGTTTCTCAGTCTTTGTCTTTTATAACCTTGACATTTTTGTAGAATATTGATCAATATCAATTTGAGGACTATTTGTCAAATATTCCTTAATTTGGATTTGTCTGATATTCTCTGATGATTGAACTGAGATTATGGTTTAGGCAAGAATACCACAGAAATAATTTTGTGTCCTTTTCAGTACATCATATCATGGCATTCGTGATGTCAGTATGTATTATTACTGGTTATTTTGACCTTGATCACTTGGTTAAGGTAGTTTCTGCTGGGTTTCTCCATTGTGAAACTACTATGTTTTCCTATGTAGTTAATAAATGCCTTAGTGGAGATACGTTGATACTATCGTTTTTATTAATGTCTTGGAGTTCTCTACACATGGAATTAGTAGTGTCTCCTTAAAGACTTTATTGAACTTTAGTTACTGTGAAATTAATTAGCTTAAAAGGTCCATCTCCTTGACTGGGCGTGGTGGCTCACGCCTGTAATCTCAGCACTTTGGGAGGCCGAGGTGGGTGGGTCACTTGAGGCCAGGAGTTCAAGGCCAGCCTGGCCAACGTGGCGAAACCCCATCTCTACTAAAAGTACAAAAAATAGCTGGGCATGGTGGCGCACACTTGTAATCCCAGCTACTCAGGGGCTGAGGTGGGAGAATTGCTTGAACCTGGGAGGTGGAGGTGGCTGTTGCAGTGAGCCGAGATCGTGCCACTGCACTCTAGCCTGGGCAACAGAGCGAAACTCTGTCACAAAAAAAAAAAAAAAAAAAATTCATCTCCTTCGAAACTTCCCACACTTTACACCTGGCTTTATCAAAGGGTTCCCAGGCTTTGCAGGAACAAATTCTATCTAGTCTTCATTGGTTTCAGTTCAATTCCAGCTCTGCTCATAATGAATCTCTTATGCTAATAACCTGTAGCTCTCTGGACCTCATTTACCCCACTGTCTCTTAGGGCGCCAGGCTCCTCCTGGCCCAGTGTCCTTCCAGGCTTCATCTCCCTTTATGCACAAGCCAGTTCCATTTGAATGACTGCTTTGGGTTTTTTCAGAAACAGAGGCTGAGAGAAGCTGACTTTGTTGGTGAAGAATACAGTGGGGGATAATTAGGGTGGCTGCAGCTGGAGCCTGGTTTATTACTTTGGCCTGAGAAAAATGGTAGCACATTAAGCTGTACTGTGTATACTTGTGAAGGAATCATTCTCTGTATTTCACTAATACAGAGAAAGTGTTTTTTTCTAAAGGTCACCAGCTTCTAGAGGTATGCCTTTAATTCTGGCAGCCTTAATCTGTAATGATCTTTTCAATTTAGCCCTGTGGACTGTGGAGTTACTTGCTGTGAACACAAGAATCCAAAATCCAAATGTGGACTAAATATTATATTTAGATCTATTTAGTTCAAACAAATTTTATACAGAGAATAACATTAGATGTTTCTTTTATTAATAAAATGCAAAGTTATTAGTATTACTGAATTCAAAGTAGCTTTTTGAATTATGTATTTTCTCAAGTGACATATACTATAAAAGCCCAGTTTATGTAATGTGGATGGGGCAGACTCAGATTCTGTGACACTTGAAGCTTATACAATTCAGAGGGCCTCCTTTAAGGAAAATATTTTTTGAAACAGAAAATGAGATATTGGGCCTTGAGAATCTGTGCAAGAGAAAGAGCCCTGAAGCTTAAGTTTCATTAGTGGGTTGGTAAATCTGCCTTTGGATGTGAGGCACTGCAAAAAGGTTGAGAACCACTGTTTTCCATCATATCATACGTGGAAAAGTTTTTGGCTTACCCACAGGAGGCTAGTGTTTTCAGATTGGGAACAGTGGGACATACAACTTAGTAACTGTGTTACACAAGGAAATAAGTAATAAGTAATAAGATGACATGCTTCCTTCCCAATTTTGGCTTTTACTTTCCTAGAAGTTTACGTTGTTGCCCAGGCTTGCCTCGAACTCCAGACCTCAAGTGATCCACCAGCCTCGGCCTCCCACTCTCGGATTTTAGGCATGAGCCACCATGCCCAGCCCAATTTTTTATTTCTTTATGGTAAAATATCTAGGAGTAGGATTGTTAGGTAAAAGTATGGCAAAAGTGCAGCCACGTTTTGCTTGACAACAGGGATATGTTCTGAGAAATGTGTTGTGAGGTGGTTTTGTCACTGTGTGAATATCATTTAAGTGAATTTGCATAAACCTAGATGATGTAGCCTACTACACACCTAGACTATATGATATAGCCTACTGCTCCTATGCTACAAACCTGTATAGGATGTTACTGTACTAAATATAATAGGTGCTAGGCATGGTGGCTCATGCCTGTAATCCCAGAACTTTGGGAGGCCGAGGCGGGAGGGTCACCTGAGGTCAGGAGTTGGAGACCATCCTGGTCAACATGGTGAAACCCTGTCTCTACTAAATACAAAAATATAAAAAATAGCTGAGCATGGTGGTGCATGCCTGTAATCCCAGCTACTTGGGAGGCTGAGGTGGGAGAATTGCTTGAACCTAAGAGGCGGAGGCTGCAGTGAGCCAAGATCGCGCGACTGCACTCCAGCCTAGGCGACAGAGTGAGATTCCGCCTCAAAAAGCAAAACAAAACAAAACAAACAAATAAACTAGGTAGTGAGAGCCACACAGATAAAACTATAATTCCCCTCCTCACATATCTACAGTAAATGGTATTGGAGAAGGATTACGTTGTTTAATGCTATATCTACAATTTAAGTGAAATGTTTTTGGTGTTAGTATTTCTCTGGACCACTTGTTACTGCCTCTCTTGTCTGGTCTTTATGCTGTCACTTCTAGCTGGTGACACACCTAAAACAGGTCTGAGGACTTACTGCTTTAGCCTACATAATACTGCCATTCAGAGCCTAAGAATCTTTTCTCTGCTACTGTGTTTTTCTCCTTTTGCTCCCTGTACTCAGGAGTGTGTGTCATAGGGCAGGCCGAGTTTCATTAAGCTCCTAATGTGGATATTGGAAACCCCACCTGTGTGCCAAGTCCTTTTGGCTGTGAGCAAAGTGGAGGCTTGGTACTTGTCATTCCTTTGCAGCAGTTGAACTGAAGGAATGCTGCATGGCTTGTTGGAAGTTGTTTGGTGGCCTTGAGTGGGGTGTGTATGAGGGTATGTGTAGAGAGGTGAGGGTCTTATAGTCTGTGTGGGAGATATGGGTTCTTTTCTGGTGTCATGTTAATCATCAGGCAGTATTTATTGACTGCCTCCTTATGACTAGCACTGTAATAGGAGCTTTTGGAATAGAATAATAAAATATATAATTGAGTCATAGTTTAATAGTCAAACATTTCTAGCTCTGCCACTTACCAGCATTGAATTGGGCAAGTTAATGTCTTTAAGCCTCCCTTTACTTTTCTGTAAAATGGAACTATTAATAACTATCTGATAGGACTGTTGTGAATATTGAATAAAGGACGTAAGTATCGTGTTTAGCACATACCTGACTGTAGTTACTATTTCATTTCATGTAGTCATATTATGACAGATACAATATAAAACAGAGAGTAATAAAAATAGAGAATAATGTGACAGTACACTGTATAATCAAATACTTTAATTGTGACATGTAGATTATAAATAGTCTAGGAATTTACAGAAGGGAAAGAACAGTCTTATGCAACCATTTAATATTCCTGTACCTCAGTTTTTCCACTGGACATGCTGTAGACAATGCTAGGTGATCTCCCAGAGAGTGATTAAGATGTTAAAGCATTTTTGCGTTTTTAGATGGTGCATATGATGGTGAGAAGGAAGGGAGAAGATTGAGGAATTGTTGATTTTGGCAAATTTAACACTTAACATTTAAACATTTTTCCTTATGTAGATGGACATGGAAGCCTTATAGGAAAACTTAAAGTTGGAGATGTGGTGATTTCCTTCCAGGGAACATACTTGCTTTGGTATTACTCTCTGTTGCCTCACTGGCATTTTAATTAGTTGAAAACTAAAGTTGGTCAATGGATTGCCTCTGATTGTGAGCCCTTGGATATAATCTGGAGATTAAGTGATTTGTAACCCAAATTATCTCTCTGATCCTCTGGCAAAAATGAAACAAACAAACAAACAGGGCAGGAGGAGATTTAGTTCTCTTGAACTGCATGTTAAGGACCTGTGGTTTACTCACCATCAGTGTTTCTCTGGGTGGAACATCTTTACTCAGAACAGATCTTAGACTGCTCACATGGCCTTCCCACCTTTAAGCAGGTTTTCATAAGCATATTCTTGGAAAACACCTTTTAGAAAGTGCTTTATTCACAATGTCCAAAAGAAACTGTTTCAGTTCCTAGTTCGTGTGTGCTTACTTGGTGATTTGTTTTGTGTTAGCCTGATACTGGAAAGTTTGTATTTGGGTTTTATTTCTATCCAGATCAACTTTCTTCTGTTTCAAGAAAATTGCAGATAATTTTCCCCTGAAAGTAAAGCTGTTCATACCTTTTTTCCATCTCTTTAGTTTGGGTGTCTCTCTCTCTTTTTTTTTTTTCCTTTTTTTTTTGGCATTGTTTGCCAAGGTTTCCAGTTTATAGCAAGAGGTGAGGCAACGTTGATCTTGGCAGAACAGTCCAAAGCCAGTAGAGTCATTAAGTGACGCAAGCTTTTGATTTTTTTTATTTCTGTTAAAGCTCTCTGACACAGCTGGCTATTCTAGTCCCAGAAGAGAGAGGAGAGACTTGCTGAAGATCTGGATGAGACAATAGAAGTTTGGGGCACATTAAAAAGAAGGAGCAAGAACATCAACAAAAACCTCAGATGATTCAAACAGGCTTCTTCTTGGCTTTGTGGAACCTTTTGCAGTTGCTCAGAATTTGAGTTTTTGCTTCAGAGGATGATGGGACAAGGCAATAAAGGGCGAGGAGGGTTATGTTGGATTCTTGCTTATCTGTCTACCTCTCCTTCCAGTTGGAAAAATCTTCAGTCCATAAGAAGCATTATCAACAAGCTTGAAGAACACATCTTACCCTGATCCTGGATGCTGCTGGAGTTGAGAATTACACCCACTTCACCAGGACGTTATTGAGGCTGTTCAAGAAAAATAGAAGGAAGCAATACTTAAGGATTTCTCTGTTTGCATTAGTCCTGTGCCATGTTACATTTTGGAGATTGTTTGGAACAAGTGAGGAAGGACTCTGTCATCTAGATCTAGGAGGATACCTGAGTCCCTTGAACTATGCAGATGATATTTGGAAGGTGGTAAACTCAAAATCTTCCAACATAAATTCACTAAATTCTGGATTCCCTTTCCTTTTAGAACTTTAGCAGACATAAATTCCTGCCAAAAAGGCACAAAACCTTCTCCGTTTTTTTTTCAGGCTAAATGTGAACAATAATGTCTTGGAAGAGAAATTATTTTTCAGGGGGTCGTGGTAGTGTACAAGGGATGTTTGCACCTCGAAGCTCAACCTCCATAGCCCCTAGCAAAGGCCTCAGCAATGAGCCGGGGCAAAACAGCTGCTTCCTCAACAGTGCCCTGCAGGTAAGGGTAATTATTTTTGGTGAACTTTGACTTTTAATTGCTGATGCTGTATTTCTGGTAACTCTTTTTAAATAAAATTCTTGATAGTCTCTGTTTGAGGTTAGTAACCTGAGGTCATTTTTACATTTATCTGTGTGATCTTTGGCAAGTCACTTTATCTCTTTGAATCTCAATTACCTCATTTACAAAAAGAGGGATTAATAATGGTAAGAGAAAAAATAATAACTGTAACTACTATTATTTACATGCCTAAAGGGAGGTAAATGGGCCAGGTGATCTTTCAGATGGAGTCTTGCTGTGTTGCCTAGGCTGGAGTACAGTGGCGCGATCTTGGCTCACTGCAACCTCCGTCTACCGGGTTCAAGCGATTCTCTTGCCTCAGCCTCCTCAGTAGCTGGGGCTATGGGTGCCCGCCACCATACCTGGCTAATTTGTGTATTTTTAGTAGAGACAGGGTTTCACCATATTTGTCAGGCTGGTCTCGAACCCCTGACGTTGTGATCCACCCGCCTCGGCCTCCCAAAGTGCTGGGATTGCAGGCGTGAGCCACCGCGCCTGGCTCATCTTTCTATTTATCAACTTTTTTTCCTGAGCAATCTCTATGGGTTCTTATTTTTCTTTTCTTTTTTTTTTTTGTTGAGACAGTTTCATTCTATTGCTAAGGCTGGAGTATAGTGGCCCAATCACAGCTCACTGCAGCCTTGACCTCCGGGGCTCAGGTGATCCTCTTGCCTTAGCCTCCTGAGTAGCTGGGACCATGGGTGATCTCGGTGGTTCAAGCAATTCTCATGCCTCAGCCACCCAAGTAGGTGGAATTACAGCTGTGTATCACCACACCCAGCTAATTTTTGTATTTTTAGTAGAGACAGGGTTTTACCATGTTGGCCAGGCTGGTTTTGAACTCCTAGCCTCAAGTGATCCACCTGCCTCAGCCTCCCAAAGTGCTGGGATTACAGGCGTGAGCCACTGCGCCTGGCCTGTTTTCTGTTTTTCCTTTTGGGAGCCAGGTGTGTTATCCTAGTTGCTTTTCTCTAGTATAGAAGCAAAATTCTTTCCACAAATCAAAGACTTTCAGGTATGTTAATCTTGTCTCTTAATATTCAGGCTTTTGGCCCACATATTGAATGGAGTCTAGTCTTTGTCCAGTTTATCTCCTCCCTTTGAGCTCTCCTGTTTTGGCTCATAACTGGTGTCTAGTCAGATACACTTGAATAGAGCTAGGGGAAAGTAAATTCCCTTAAGGTGATTATCTACCCTACATTTTCCCTTTCACTGTTGCTTGCTACTTAAGTGGTCTTAGAATCCCAAAGCTTTCTGTCTGTCTGCTCTGCCCAGTCACGCCCATAGCGTGTTAAGTTCATCCCCCTTGGCCTAACTTTCAAGTAATTACTTTCTCTTCTTTTCTGCTCTTCAGTGTAAAAGTAAATGAAATTTTCCACCCAAGATAATTATACTTGGGTAAAATATTAGCTTGACTCCTCAGATGTTGTGAGAAAATAGGTTGCTATGAGAGAAGACAAGATGTTTAGTATAAAGAACAATGGTCTTGGGCATTAGGAGGAGACCTGGGTTCTAGTTTTAGCCATTCTGTAGACTAGTCTTGTGACCTTGTACAGGTAATAGTGTCTGAGTTTCCTCATTCATAATACAAGAATTTTGCCAAGCTTATCTAAGTAATAAAAGTTTCATGCTCTTTCTCAGTTTTTATTTATTTGAGACGGAGTCTCGCTCTGTCGCTCAGGCTGGAGTGAAGTGGTGGGATCTCAGCTCATTGCCATCTCCACCTCTTGGGTTCAAGCAATTCTCCTGCCTTAGCTTCCTGAATACCTGGGATTACAGACCATCTGCCACCACACCGGGCTAATTTTTGTACATTTGGTAGAGACGGGGTTTCGCCATTTTGGCTGGGCTGGTCTTGAACTTCTGACCTCAGGTAATCTGCCCACCTCGGCCTCCCAAAGTGCTGGGCTTACAGGTGTGTGCCACGGCGCCCAGTCTCTTTCTCAGTTTTTAAGTTTTTATTTGAAAACAATTTTTTAAAAAAATTATGTGCTGGCAACCCTATAAAAAAAATTTTAAGTGCTTTCCCTAATTATTACCACAAATTTCATGTGTTTAGGTGGAGTTGGCTAGGTTTTTGTCCTGGATGATGCATATTAGTTTTCTTTCTTTATTTCTTTTTTTGGAGCCAGAGGTCTCACTCTGTCGCCAAGGCTGGAGTGCAATGGTGTACTCATAGCTCACTGCAGCCTTAACATCCTGGGCTCAAGCGATCCTCCCACCTCAGCCTCCCTAGTAGCTAGGACTACAGACACGTGCCACCATACCTGGCTAATTTTTTTTTTTTTTAATTGTTTGTAGAGAGGGGATCTCACTGTAATTGCCTAGGCTGGTCTTGAACTTCTGGGCTCAAGTGATCCTCCTGCATTGGCCCCCCAAAGTGCTGAGATTATAGGCATGAGCCACCACACCTGGCCACATATTAGTTTTTTTAGTTACTTTTTATCCTGGTAATACTTTTGTGATTTAGAAGCAGGCAAAATAAGGCATTGATATAAATGTGTATGTTTACCCCCTTCTTGGCCATAGTCCCATTTTTATAATTGTTTTTTTCTATGTGGTCTATTTATATTGTCAGTTGAAACAATGCTGTTTATGAGTTTCCATTCTAATTTCCAGTGCCATATACAATATATTATATATATGTATACACACACACACATATACATATTTCTGTATCCATACTTAATGATTGAGGCATTGGTGGTTTTGGAGTCCCTATTATAATCATGTTACATGTTGAAAATAGTTGTTGCTATGAGCTAATATTCTGACTTTTGGTTTCAAAGCTGCATTTGCCACAGATGAGTTGAACCTATTACATTTGTTATAAAAAGATGTTATTTACTTGGGAGCATAGCCAGTTTCAAAGAACTTTTAAGAGTATGGATCTTGAGACATATAAGTAAGAAGCTCCAGAGGTGTGCGTCATCTGGGGCTCCAGAAATTATGCTTTTTCACATATTATGACATTAAATGCTTTCCTAGCAAGGGGGAGCTTCCTAAGGCATTATGCTATATATTACATCATTTCTTTTTTAACTAAAAATTGCAATTTATTCATATTTCCTTAGTTTTTACCTGCTGTCCTTTCCTGGCCCAAGATTTCATCCAGGATACCACATTTAGATTTACTTGTCATGTCTTCTTAGGCTTCTCTTAGCTGTGACATTTTCTCAGAATGTTTATGTTTTTGATAATCTTTGACAGTTTTGAGGAGTACTGATCAAGTATTTTTTTGGATATCCTCCTTCCCCTATTGGAATTTGTCTAATGCTTTTCTCATGATTAGACTAGGGTAATAGGTTTTGGGGAGGAAGACCACAAAAGTATAGTGCTGTTTTCAACACATCACATCAAGGGTATATACTATAACATGATTTATCACTGTTAATATCATATTTTTTTTCCATTTCAACAAAAGTATAGAAATCATAATTTTTTACCCTATTGACTTAAGGAGATCACACTTCTCTTAGAAATGTCTAAAAATTGAGAGTTCTAACAGAAAAAATTCCATACTACAGTTCACATTTCTATGGGTTCACATTTCTAATATAAGTTGTAAAATATTCTTGCTTTTCTTGTGTGGATCATTAATGTAAATCCTTATTCTTCAGCTTTAACCCATAAATTTCCTCTTCAGGATCACATTTGATGTCATGTCATATTTTAACTATATTAACTTCACTTTATGTTGAAATTAATATCTTTCCCAGAATATGACCATTCATTTTTCCTGTTAGATATCTCACCATTTTTCACATTTGTTTTAATATACTAGAATGAAGTTTTCTCTGGGAATAAAGATATCTTCTGCAGTCATTACCTATGTTTGCTTGAACTCTTTTACTTTAAAATTAAATGGTGGCTTTTTGTAGAGTAATGAAATGTTTTCCCTTTCTCACCAGGTTTTGTGGCACTTGGATATCTTCCGACGTAGCTTTAGGCAGCTTACAACTCACAAGTGCATGGGAGATTCCTGCATCTTTTGTGCTCTCAAGGTAAGTACTTCCAATTAGTTTCTTCTCACTACCATTGGGTGGTCACATGGTCAATATCAAGGTGGTTTGGTTAATCAGGATGATGCTAAAGAATTTGTTACTGAATTATCTACCTGTGGTTTAGTGCAAAAATGGATATGATTGGTTTGCTTGCTTCAAAGAATTAGTACTTGACTTGGGTAGTCTCTTTTACTGAACCTGTTTTGCTTATGCAGCTCTATTTGATGTGACAGAATACTATGCAAGTATGCTTCTCCTTTTTTTTTTTTCTGAGGCGGAGTCTCATTCTGTCACCCAGGCTGGAGTGCACTGGTACAATCTCAGCTCACTGCAACCTCCGCCTCCTGGGTTCAAGCAATTCTTCTGTTTCAGCCTCCTGAGTAACTGGGATTATAGGCGCGCAGCACCATGCTCCGTTAATTTTTGTATTTTTGTAGAAACGGGGTTTTGCCATGTTGGCCAGGCTGGTCTCGAACTCCTGACTTCAGGTGATCCGCCTGCCTCGGCCTCTCAAAGTGCTGGGATTACAGGTGTGAGCCACCGCGCCCGGCCGGGCAGATATTTTTAGAAAGAGATAAGTGATTCTTCTGAACTTTTTGCCACTTGGGTCATAAACATCTTGTTTTCTACCCTTTGTTTGGAACCATTATAACTTGTTTTTTGTTTTGTTTTCTTTTTGAGACGGAGTTTTGCTCTTGTCACCCAGGCTGGTGTGCAATGGTGCAGTTTCGGCTCACTGCAACCTCCCCCTCCCAGATTCAAATGATTCTCCTGCCTCCGCCTCCCCAGTAGGTGATGACTAGTTTTTGAAATATATTTTTAGTGGAGATGGGATTTCACCATGTTGGCCAGGCTGGTCTTGAACTCCTGACTCCCAAATAGGGAGCCTCCCAAATAGCCTCCCAAGGCGCCGACCACCACGCCTGGCTAATTTTAATTTTAGTAGAGACGGGGTTTCACTGTATTGGCCAGGCTGGCGTCCCAACTCCTGACTTCAGGTGATGCCCGCCTTGGCCTTCCAAAGTGCTGAGATTACAGGCGTGAGCCATCACGCCCAGCTGGAACCATTATAACTTGTAACAATATATAGAATATAAATTATTGGTTTATTGGGGAGTTCAAATATGAATTTTAATAAAACCAAATCTCTTACAAGTTGAATATAACATTTCTTACTGTGCCCATTTAGACAGGGGTCCATCCAAAGGGCATTTTATCTGATTTTCTGAAAGATACATTAAGTATCTAACTTAGATAAAGAAGAAATACAGTAGTCCCATGGTCAGTAAGTCCAAAAGAAGTCTGATTCATGGCATTAGAGCCATGCTACGAAGAAAAAAACAAACAACAACAAAAAATGTCATTCAGAAAGGGAGAGAAAAACAAAAAAGCAAAACATGTTTGGGATACTTACTAGGGAAATGTGAATCCTGGAGAAGTCCCTAGTAGAAGAACTGTCTGACTCTGGAAACTCTTGTCTGTACCAAGAAGGGATGAGAGCACTTATATGACCTCTGAGAGGCCTTTGACTAGTCAGGACTGTGCTGTACTCTTCATTGATCTGGGTAGGACTCTGGAGAACTGACTGCCACACTCTTGTTATATTTCATTTTCCTGAGGGACAAACTGTTACTTAGTATAAATCAGTATCATTATATAAGCTAGAAAGATGAAGAGAGCCAACCACTAGACTACCCTCTGAGATACACAAGTACAGAAGGGAAATTGTCAATTTGTTGGGCTGAGGAAATATTTTGGGACTCTTTCAGAGAGACAGTTGCTTGTGGTGGATAGATAAATGGGCTTGGGGATGTATTTATCAAAGGCTATATTTTGGGTCTTCATAACTCTGGGGATGTGTTAGAATTCTGGTACTTTCCTCATTACATCACTGCCTGATCTAACCAAAAGATTTATTTTCCTTCACTGCCTCATCTGTTGTGTTGGGAGTGTATTAAAAGTTTGATTTTTGCTGGGCACGGTGGCTCAAGCCTGTAATCCCAGCACTTTGGGAGGCCGAGACGGGTGGATCACGAGGTCAGGAGATCGAGACCATCCTGGCTAACACGGTGAAACCCCGTCTCTACTAAAAAATACAAAAACTGGCCGGGCGAGGTGGCGGGCGCCTGTAGTCCCAGCTACTCGGGAGGCTGAGGCAGGAGAATGGCGTAAACCCGGGAGGCGGAGCTTGCAGTGAGCTGAGATCCGGCCACTGCACTCCAGCCTGGGCGACAGAGCGAGACTCCGTCTCAAAAAAAAAAAAGACATAAAGATTATAAAGGATGAAACAAAGTTGCTGTTATTTGCAGATGATATGACTGTTATAAGAAAACTCAATCTACTGATAAGTTAGAAGCAACAATAAGAGAGTATAGTGGGTTGTTGCATCAAGGCATAACATTCAGTTCTGTTTCTTTTTTTTTTTTTGAGACAGGCTTTCGCTCTTGTTGCACAGACTGGAGTGCAATGGTGCGATCTCAGCTCACTGAAACCTCTGCCTCCCAGGTTCAAGCGATTCTCCTGCCTCAGCCTCCCGAGTAGCTGGGATTACAGGCACCCACCACCACGCCTGGCTAATTTTTTATATTTTTAGTAGAGCTGGGGTTTCGCCATGTTGGCCAGACTGGTCTTGAACTCCTTACACCTCAGGTGATCTACCCGCCTTAGCCTCCCAAAGTGCTGTGATTACAGGTGTGAGCCACCATGCCCTGCCGGTACTGGCAATTTTCTATTTTGACTTGAAGAGTTATTGCAAGGGTGTTGACTTTGATTACTTGTTGTACTGGATCTCTGTGGAGGTTTTATACAAATGTCTTATACCATTTTTGTAAGATTTATTCATATTTACTGCATATACTTTGTTGCTATTATAAAATGCTTTTTAAATTGCATTTTCTGTTTGTTGCCAGCTATAGAAACAGAACTGGGCTGGGCGCAGTGGCTCACGCCTGTAATCCCAGCACTTTGGGAGGCCGAGGCGGGTAGATCACCTGAGGTGTAAGGAGTTCAAGACCAGTCTGGCCAACATGGCGAAACCCTATCTCTACTAAAAATACAAAAAATTAGCCGGGTGTGGTGGCACATGCCCATGATCCCAGCTACTCAGGAGGCTGAGGTATGAGAATCACTTGAACCTGGGAAGTGGAGGTTGCAGTGAGCCAGGACCGTACCACTGCACTCTAGCCTGGGTGACAGAGCAAGACACTGTCTCAAAACAAAACAAAAAAAAGAAAGAAAATTATCCTCCCTTTTTTCTCAATTAGATCTCTTTTCTCCCAGGGACTTCCTAATGTTTGTGGTAATCATTTCCTTTTTTTTTTTTTTTGAGACAGAGTCTCACTGTGTCTCCCAGGCTGGAATGCAGTGGCACAATCTCGGCTCACTGCAACCTCCACCTCCTGGGTTCGAATGATTCTCCTGCCTCAGCCTCCCAAGTAGGTGGGATTACAGGTGCATGTCACCATGCCCGGCTAATTTTTGTATTTTTAGTAGAGGTGGGGTTTCACCATGTTGGTCAGGCTGGTCTCGAACTCTTGACCTTGTGATCCACCCGCCTTGTCCCCCCAAAGTGCTGGGATTACAGGCGTGAGCCATCGCGCCTGGCCCATTTCCTTGTTTTATCTGATGTTTTACTACCTATATATTTATTCTTAATCTAATTTAAAGATTACCTGTTTTTGAGACTTCATTGTAAATGGAATCATTCTATGTAAATTTTGTGTGTGTTTCTTAGCTCAGCAATATGTTTATGAGAGCATCTACGCTGTTGTGTGTAGGTCTAGTTCATTTTCATTATTGTATGGTATTTCTTTTTTTCTTTTCTTTTTTTTTTTTTTTTTCATTTTTGAGGCAGAGTTTTGCTCTTGTTGAGCAGACTGGAGTGCAATGGTGCGATCTCAGCTTGCTGCAACCTCTGCCTCCCGGTTTCAAGCGATTCTTCTGCCTCATCCTCCTGAGTAGCTGGAATTACAGGCATGCACCACTACGCCTGGCTAATTTTGTATTTTTAGTAGAGACAGGGTTTCTCCGTGTTGGCCAGGCTGGTCTCGAACTGCTGACCTCAGGTGATCTGCCCACTTTGGCCTCGCAAAGTGCTGGGATTACAGACGTGAGCCACTGTTCCTGACCAACTACCAAATGTTGGCAGTCATTTGGATTGTTTCCAGTTTTTTATTTTTATGAAGAGTATTACTGAGAACATTTTTGTACATGTTTACCTATGTGTACACATTTCTTTTGTACACATGCCCAGGACTGGAATTGCTAGATCATAGAATATGTACGTCTTCAACTTTTTTAGATAATGCCATTTGTTTTCCAATGTGGTTGTACTCATGTATACTCTCATCAGTAGGCTTATTTTGCAAGTTGAGAAAAGACAGTTCTGAAATTTACATAACAAACAGGGAAAAATAGGACACTACTGAAAAATAACAACAGAGTGTGACTTCAGAGTAGGCAGGCTAAGTTATTTATTTATTTATTTGAAATAGGATCTTGTTCTGTTGCCCAGGCTGAGGTGTAGTGGGGCTATTACAGTTCACTGCAGCCTCGACCTCCTGGACTCAAGGAGTCCTCTTGCCTCTGCCTCCGGAGTAGCTGGCACCATAGGCATGTGCTACCATGTCTGGCTGAGTTTTAAATTTTTGGTAGACATGGATTCTGACTATGTTGCCTAGGCTGGTTTTGAACTCCTGGGCTCAAGCAGTCCTTTCACTTCGGCTTCCCAAAGTGCTGGGATTACAGGCATGAACTACCATTCCTGGCCCAGAGTGTGCTAAATTATATTGTGGTAGCAAAGAACCCTAAACTCCCTGTGATTAATATACCAAAGATTTATTTCTCATTCACTGAAGATAAGTAGGGATACGACTGATTATATCACTTAGGTACCAAAGCTACAATTGTATTGAGTATTATTATTTTTTAGAGATAGGATCTTGCTCTGTCACCCAGCCTGGAGTATAGTGGTACCAGTCATAGCTCACTGCAGCCTCAGT